GCCTTTTCTCTGCCCCCATCACTACACCAGGCCACCCTTCTGTGACCCCGCATCATTTCCTCAACCCCACCCCTTTTTCCTGGCCCCACATTGCTACCTTTGTTCTGCTGTTTTCTTGGTCCCACATTGCTGTCCAGGTGGCCTTGTAAGACCCCCCTTCACCTCTCATCCTAGTTCAACTCCGATTCTCCTTTGTCCTCTCTTACCAAACTCACCCGCGTATCATACCCTTTCACACTTTCTTAATTACTTTTCTCCATTACCCCAACCAGCACTCTTCCCTTTCCACTTGTGGACTCTCTGATTAGCTCTAGCCCTGGCTCCCTATGCTCTGTCCTTTAGCCCAGGGTTCTGTACCCATCCCCACTCCCACCCTCTCACACCTCATCCCATCCCCTCTGTCCTCTACCTGCCCATTGACCACGCCCTGAGCTCCCCTGTCTCCCTCTGCTGACTGCCTTTTCATTTTCCCCCACCATCCTTCTCTTTACGCCTCTCCCTGGACTCACCCCTCAGGTTGCCAGATCATACACCCGCCCTGGGAAGGGGGCATCAGGTACCGGGGCCTGACTCGGGACCAAGTGAAGGCTATCAACTTCCTTCCTGTGGACTATGAGATTGAGTATGTGTGCCGGGGCGAGCGCGAGGTGGTAGGGCCCAAGGTCCGAAAGTGCCTGGCCAACGGCTCCTGGACAGACATGGACACACCCAGCCGCTGTGGTGAGTAGCCTCACAAAGCCTCTCCCCTCTTCAAGCCAGTTCTTCCTGCCTCAAACTTAGGATTGTTGCTGGCAAGTCAGCATTTTAAACCCAGCGTAACCAAATTCACAAGTACATTTACTAAACGACTACTATGTAAGAGGGACTTTGCTGTGTGCAGTTGGAGGCAGTAAGGTTAGCAGCCTGCACATTTCATTTCATCCTCCCTTCATGAGGCCACTGACCATTTGGGAAAATAACTTGGTTATTCATCTTGTGAGTTCATCTCTTTGAGGATTATTCGTGGCAGATGAGGCAAAAACATTCTAAAATGGTTTCATCACATTTCTGAATACCTGTCTCCAATGCAGAGACATACACTCCCCAAATAAAACCCAGTTTATCCTGAGTATAAAAGCCAACTATAATAAGGCAAATCTGATTGTGCATCTAAAGTTACATACAGCCACACATCTCAAAGCCAGAGAACCGCCCACTGTAGCTGACTTTGAAGAGATCCCATTTTATGTGCTTATAGCTCCATCTTGGGTTCTGATGATGGAAATGCTTTTTCCTTTTCCTTTTTTTTTCCCCGTGTGGATGCTTACAGGGCTAAGAGGGGAGTGGAATCTAGAGAAGTGAATCATGTTTACATCTGATTTCCTGCAGAGTAGGATGCTTGTGGACCCAAACTCAAATCGGAGCCCCCTCCCTGCTCTCTAAGGGGCAGAAGGCTTCTCCAACTCGCTTCTCTCTTTATTTTCCTGTTTCCACAGTCCGAATCTGCTCCAAGTCTTATTTGACCCTGGAAAATGGGAAGGTTTTCCTGACGGGTGGGGACCTCCCAGCTCTGGACGGAGCCCGGGTGGATTTCCGGTGTGACCCCGACTTCCATCTGGTGGGCAGCTCCCGGAGCATCTGTAGTCAGGGCCAGTGGAGCACCCCCAAGCCCCACTGCCAGGGTGAGGGGAACAGCTGCCTGCATGCAGCTGATGAGGACGCTTGTGAGAGGATGGGAGTGGGGTGGGAATGGATGGGGTGGGGAACAGGATACTATACAAAATGGGGGGGCTTTGGGGAGGCAGAGGTGAATGCCCAACTCTTTCCTCCATCCACCTGCCTCAAACGTCCTCCTGCTGCCCCCCCACCCCTCATTTCCACTTTACCTATGTTGGGGGCTTCTTTACCTTTCTCTTTTTAACACCTCCCCCCTGCTCCCAATTCTTGGGTCTCATGTTTTCTCTTTTCCTTTACGAATCTCACCCTCCATCACCCTTCTTAAGGTTTGAATATTCCAGTTTCCCCCAGCCTGAGTTCCTTTGTCTAAACTTAGAATTTTCTGTGCATAACCCTCTCCTAAAATTGATTCCTCTCCACTCATCATATACTTGAATTATTGTAAAGACTCAGAAATAAATCACATGTCACATTTAGAAAAATTGGTAAGACTGGAAAGAATATCCGGGATGGAAAATTACCAGGGTAAAAAGTAAAAAGACATGAAAGTGGAGGCAGAACTATCAGAGTATTAAGGACAGTCCAGGGATAGGGTGGGAAGAGGACAGTCCTTTTCTAGACTTCCCAGAAAACCTCCATCATTCCCCAAGGGAATCTGACATGTGTCCACCACCTTTTTTGACCATCTAGTTCTGCAGACTTCCCCCTGGGCACCCACATTCTCCCTCTGCAGCCTTCTCTCCTGGGATGCAGGCATAGCTCCTGCTTCCTCTACCCCTGTAAACTCTTTCAAGATCCCTGGACCTGGCTTTCCTCACTTCACTTAATTATTCTGCTTGTAGTTTACCATTCCATTCTGGAAAGTGTAAGTCCCACGGTGAGAGGGGAGGGATTCACTATGAAGCTAATGAAATTTAAGCCCCAAAGTTCTTTGTTTACAGAGGCCTCTTCCTGTGCTTAATAACATAGAGGGTTCTAATAATGTGTTCACATGTTCATAGGTTTTGTAAACATTGCAAAAGTAAGATATTTCAACAGCTTAAAACCAACGCCTTTTGCAGTTTTTTTCTCTTAAAGAGAGACCCCCGATTTTATACTATCCATATTCAATGAGAGCAGTTTCTGCCCATGTCTTAGCTGTTGGCCCTCCTGTCTCAAATTCTGTTGTCCTATGAAAAATCAAAGAAGAAAACCAACAAGTCCTGACCAACAGCCCCACCTTGCTCTTATCCCCAGGCACCCTCCCCTCAGAAACGCAGGCTTCCGCTCCCCCTCGTCTTCTTCGGCATGGACAGGTGTGGGAGGGGGCTGGGGATCAGGCCTGGGAAGCTGGGCGCCACTGGTAACTCTTCTCTGATCCCCGTCTTTCCTGCTGCCAGTGAATCGAACGCCACACTCAGGTGAGATCGGAAACCCTTCTCGCGTGCACTGCAAGCCCCTTCCCCTCACTCTTCACCCTCCTCCCCCAGGGATTCTGTCCCCAGGCTATGGGTTCTCGTCCTCCCCGCCTTCCCTCGCACCCCCACCCCAGTACGCGGCCAGCCCTTTCATTCCCTACCTGTTTCCAGCCTCCAGTCTCGGTTTTCTGCGAGGCTGCGGTCCCTCCCATCTCCCTGCTTGGCTGCACTCTCCTCGGCTCCGCCTCCTCCCAGACTCTGCTTCTGCCAAATGGCAGAGCCCCAGCAGGGGGCGGCAGGATGCTGGGAGACCCTGAGCTTCCACCCCGTCTTCCCCTGTGGGGTTCCTTCCGACCTTCTCTGGAACCTTTTCCTGCCTGCCCTCGCCCTAGGATTTCACCTGTCGACTCCATCAGCTCAGGCCTCACTCTCCCTCCTTCAGATCCTCCCCACATCCTTTCCTTCCCTGCGCCCTTTCCCTTCTCTTTATCTCAGTTCCTTCTCAGCCTCTGTCCTCCCAGCCCCGTGTTTCCGTCTCTCTCCCCATCACCCCACTTTGGCTCAGCCCTGCATCTTCTCCACCCAACTCTCTCTCCAAAACTGTTCCCCTCACCCTTTCCGTCAGCACCCTCAGTCCCTCACCCCATCTATTCACACCCCCATTAAGACACTCAGGCTCCAGCCCTTTTCTCTTGCGTCCCACTCTCGTCTTTCCCTTCATCACTCTCTGCTCACTGCTTCGGCCTTCCTCCGCCCACCCCGCCCTCCTGGCACGCCCCTTCCCCTCTTTCCTCCTCCCCTAGATTCCCCTTAGGTGGGACCCCTCCCTTTCTCGTCCATCCCTTTCACCCTAGGGGTCGCATCCTCCCTCTCCTCCCCTCCCCTCGGAGGGTAGTTCCCACAGAAGCGCTGGCCTTCATCCCCGCCCCCTTCCTCCCTCCCTAACGCTGCCCCCCACCCCCGCTGCCGCGCGCCGCCCGTGACGTCAGAGCCCCCTCCCAGCCCTGCATCTCCCTCCTCCTCCTCCCCTCGGTCGGTCAGTCAGTCCGCGAGGAGAGTCCGCGGTGGCGGTGGCGGTGGCGGTGGCGGGAGCGAAAGCCGTGGGGGCCGTAGGAAGCCAGGCTTCCCTGCTTCCCCGAGGCCCTATTCCCCTCCTCCGCACAAAACCAGGGATGGAGGCGCCTCTCCGACATCCCCTCAGCAACCCTCCCCAGAAAAAGTGTCCCCCCTGAGCTCCTCCTCCTCCCCAAGCAGCTACCCCCGCCCCTGCCATGGGTCCGGGAGCCCCCTCTCCCCGGGTGGGGTGGCCCCAGCTGCTCCTGGTGGTGATGGCGGCGGGGGTGGCTCCGGTGTGGGCCTCCCACTCCCCTCATCTCCCGCGGCCTCACCCGCGGGTCCCCCCGCACCCCTCCTCAGAACGGCGCGCAGTGTACATCGGGGCGCTGTTTCCCATGAGCGGGGGCTGGCCGGGGGGCCAGGCCTGCCAGCCCGCGGTCGAGATGGCGCTGGAGGACGTGAATAGCCGCAGGGACATCCTGCCGGACTATGAGCTCAAGCTCATCCACCACGACAGCAAGGTAGCCCCGGACTCGGGAGTGGGTGGGAGGTGAGGGCTTGCGGGTCAGGGGGCCAGCTGCACGTGCCTTAGTCTGAGTCGCTCTGGGATTGCCAGGCTGACCCCTCCCATGTGTGGCTAGCGGGAGACAGGCTGGAGGTGCGGGGGTCTTGGGGAAGAGTCGCAGGGGCTGGAGGTTCAAGATGAGGGTCTAGAGGTTCAAGGTGGTTAATCACGCTGCAAGGCAGACCCTTCTGCTCCCGGAGATCCTTGAAACCACCGGTGTTGGAGTGGAAGTTTGGAGAAATTGTTAATGGGCTTAGGGTACCAGACGATCCTGTTCTTTCAGGGAGTAAACTAACCCTGGGATGGGTGGGTTGGGGGATGGAGGGAACCAGGCGGGCAGCTGGATCAGGGGTTTACATTTACCAGGGTAACAAGGTAAATCTTGGCAGCAGGTTGGAGCTGGAAGGAAGAGGGACCCAGTGAGGAAAATTTTGAGAGACTTGAGAGCTCTAGTTTATTTATCACAACAAACAGCAGGGTAGCTGTGAGCCCTCCCTGACTCCTCATCCCTTCACCCCCAACCCTGTGGAGGATTCCTGGAATGTGGGACTATAAGGCATACTGTGGATGGAGAAGGCTAACGGTCAAGAGATGGGCAGAGGCACTAGGAAAATGAATGTGATGTGAGGGCCACAGAGGAGCCCCCACAAGAGCATGTGGATGGAGAGGAGTCTGGATACAGGGAAGACAGAATAGGAAAGAATGGCAGTAGGGGAGGGAGACTAGAAGGAGTGGTGGGGACAGTGAGAGATCCAGGGTTATACTGTGGTACTTGGCTTTTTTTGTGGCCTCTAAAACGTGAGAAGGGAAAGGGAAGTGGGGTTAGGGAGGCAAGGAAGGGGGAGGGGGGAAAGGTAAGAAAATTTGGGTCCAGAGGTAGTAGGGGATAGTCTTACCAGATTCCTTTCCCACCCCATCCCCTACATGAATGCCTGGGAGTATAGGGGAGGATGTGGCACAGGAAGGAAGGACATTTGGGGCCTCAAATTTATCTTCTGACAGGTGGCCCTACAGACTTGAGGGATTGGGGAGCATGAAGGTTTAGTACAGAGGCAAGGACTTGGTGATCTTACACCCAAGGTGGACTGGGGCTTTATGTTCACTCTTTAGAACAGTGGAAAAATTCTACACTTGGAAATAGGAATGTGAGAGAAGAAGGGGCAGAAGTGGGGTTGAAATTAGGGTGCTTGGGGAAAAGAAGGCACAAGGACTCTGAGGAACTCAGAGAGGGACCTTCAAATCCCTTTTGACCCTTTCACAGTGATTATCAAACTTCAGTGTTCCTAAGAATCACCAGAAGTGTGTTAAAAATACATACAGATTCTAACTCAGGGATGAGTCCCAAGTATCTGCATCTTTACCAATTAAAGTCCTGTTTCACTAAACCCAGGATGCCTATGGGAAGAAGAGCAACAGGGCACAGGGAAAAATTAGATGTTAGGAGAGGCAGGAAGAGAAAGAGGGTCAGTTCTGATGGAGGAGTCAAGCTTAGGAGAACAAGAGAAATAATTGGCTATGGGGGTGGGCGTCCGGGGAGAAAGGCAGGGAGGGAGGGGTGCAGGCTTTATGACAGGGGATCGCAGGGAGTCAGGGAGCCCTGTATGTGAGCTCAAACTCATCCACCATGACAGGTGATTCCCTGGAGGTGTTGGGGAGCAGATGGGGACCTGAGAGAAGGGAGATGGAGGAGAAAATAGCAGAGACAGCGAAGGGGAGATGGAAAAGCAGACGAACTGGAATGTGTCGTTTCCGGATCCTTGCAGAGCAGAGGAGAGGGAGGACAGAGGAAGTCTATTGGGGAGGGGTGAGAATCACGTGGCAGAGGGAACATGCAGTGTTGAGTAGGATGTGGAAGGGGGAAAAGGATGTAAGAGAAGTCAGGGAAGGAAGGAAGAAACAGAAGAGACACTGTGGTGGCGTACATTGTCAGTCCGTATCTTACATGTTCTTATATGTCCTCATTGTTCCAATTAATCTTATCTTCAGACAAGAAAGGAAGAGGGCACTGAGGGTCCATGGGAGAGGCTGGGGGCAGGATCTGAAGTGATAGATGCAGGGAGAGAGCGGGAGGGTGGGACGTGAGAATGGTAAAGATACACAAAGATGCCCAAGTGGGAGAGATGCAGAACCTTCAAACCATGCAGTTAAGCAGACACTGAGCATTGCCCTCAGCAGGGATTGGGATGGGTGGGCAGCCGAGAGCTGGTTCTTTGGTCCAGCCTCCCCTGGCTCCCTCTTCTCCAACTTCCCACCGTGTCCCAAATGTCAGGCCTCAGTGGGAAGCGAGCAGACTCTAGGGGGCCTTCTTTATTTCCTTCGATTTGTGCCCCCCTATCACCCTCCCCAATCCCCTGTGTCTCCTGTCTGGCTCCTCTGCCCGGGCTCCCCACTGGCTTCCATTTCTTCCCCACTTCCTCTGGGGCTCCAGCAGCTTCTGAAATGTCATGTTTCAGCAGGAGGGGAAAAGGCAGTGGAGGCCCCGTGGCTGGCTCTTCCTCCCCCAACTCCCCTCCTCCCATTAAGCCTTTCCACTCTCAAGCTGTCTGCATTGTTTACTTTCCCTCTCTTTCAGGCACCCCTAAAAGCATCTGATTTCTTGAGCGTCCCATTCTATTTATTCTCTCCAGCTCTCCTCTCATCTTGTTTCTCCCCCACCCCTTCCGCCTGCCCCCAGTGTCTTTTTTCCTAATGGACCTGTCAAATGTCAGGGCACAGCAGGAGGGCATGGATCACTGAACCAGGACCCCCTGGCGGCCTTGTCCCTATTCTCTCCTGTTTATTTATCTCTAGCCCTGAAAAGAGAAGAGGGAGGAAGAAAAGGCAGGTGAGGAGAGGGAGTGTGCAGAGGTGAGGGAGAACTCTTCGTAATCTGGCTTTAAGGAAGCTGCCTGGGGACTTGGGGAAAATGTATTCATATTCCTGCAGACTCTTTGCTACTCACAGATGTTTGGAGCATAGAAACATGGGGTCGGGGGAGGGGTGGTGGAGGGAAGGTGGGCTAGGGGATGTCTGAGGATACACTGAGAGGAGGGAAGGTAGTGTTTGCATTCATACTGATGGAGGGGATGCAGGGGAGGGGGTGGGTAAGGCGCCAGGTGCAAGACAGAGAAGGGTGTTTCAAAAATGAGGAGAAGGAGACTCAGGAAGAAGACATGGTGATCATGACAAAAGGTTTCAGCAGAGGGATGGATAGTTGGGGAAGTAACCAGGTGGCTGGAGAAAAAGAAAAGAGTAAGACATGCAGGGAGGGGAGGAGCCCTGGGAGAGCTTACCCCCATCCCCTCCATCCTCGTCCTCGTTCAGTGTGACCCAGGCCAAGCCACCAAGTACCTGTACGAGCTGCTCTACAACGACCCTATCAAGATCATCCTCATGCCCGGCTGCAGCTCCGTCTCCACGCTCGTGGCTGAGGCTGCCAGGATGTGGAACCTCATTGTGGTGAGTGTGCGTGGGGTCAGAAGGTGGGGCTGGCCCCTGGTGGGCTGTCCTAAACAGAGCGTGTACTGCGGGCTTGTATTTAAGAGGACCGCTTCCAAGATGCAGAGTCCTTTGCAGACCCGAGCTAGTTGGGCTCCGAGCACCAGTGGCCTGGTGGGGCTGCAGCTGACCTTGGTCCCCATCGGAAGGAACGGAAGTTGCATCAGTGAAAGAGAACCGTGTTGGTGGTGGGTGTGTGGGCTTCTGAGGCTCACTCTTCCCTGGGCAGAGAAGTAGGGCAGCTGGAGAGGCTGAGGGAGAGGAGCCCAGAGGTGGGGAAGGGTTGAAGGAGCCCTTAGCGAGGCTGTGATGACCACCCTCTGCCTGTCCCCACTCTCTTAGCTTTCCTATGGCTCCAGCTCACCAGCCCTGTCAAACCGGCAACGCTTTCCTACCTTCTTCCGAACTCATCCGTCAGCCACACTCCACAATCCCACGCGGGTGAAACTCTTCGAAAAGTGGGGCTGGAAGAAGATCGCCACCATTCAGCAGACCACTGAGGTCTTCACCTCGGTGAGCAGGGACAGGGTGAAGGGGGCCTTTGCTCAAATCCCAGGGCAGAGAGATGGGACATGGAATTCATCTGGGGGCAAAAGCCTTGATTCTTTATTAAAAGAGACATTCCGAGTGGGTTAAGTGCATGTTCTTCCTGTAGTCAGTGGAGTAAAAGAGTTGAGTTTCCAGGACCCTTTCCAACTTTTTGGTCTCAGGATTTTTTTTCCTGCTTTGATGCTCTGTTCCCGAGACAGATAGACCCCAAATAATCCAGTTCTGTTAAAGTAGGTTCACTCCAAAGTTGAGGCAAAATAAGGGAAAGACTATGAGATAAGAACCTAGGGCAGAGGTAGACTCCAGGGGCACTCACGGGGGCGATGTGTGTGTGATGGGAACAGAGGGTACAGAGAGGGAGGAGAGAAGGAGAGAGAGGGGAGAGAGGGAGGCAGACAAGTGCACATACATGGTCTGGTAACTGACTCTGCCAGCAAGATGCGCACCTACAAAGGGGCAGGGAGGGGGATTTCAGGGGGTAGAAAGGAGATACCTGGCTCTGTACCTAAAGAAGCCCACCTGCTCTCTGTTATTCTACTCTTTGAGTCCTCTATTCACTGTCATGTTCAGCGGCCCTTTAATCCTCCCCCAACCTTCTCTCAGTGACTCAGGACACTCTCTGATCCTTCTGTCTGTCTGCCCACTTGCCTCTTGAGGTTGACATCATCCTGGCTGTACCAGACTCTGCTTCAACTTTTCCTGGTTCCTCTGATTTCCTTTCCCCCGTTTTTGCTGTTGAGTAGGAGTGGGTCAATGGGTGACTTCCCTGGACACAGACCCTCAGGGGTTGCTCACTAAGCACCTTCCCAGTCAGAAGCCACATCTTAAGACTCCAGATGCTTTTCTTTGAACGCTTCCCACCGGGGACAGAGCTGTTGAAGGAAGGTTCAGAATTGCTCTTCCTTTGCTCTGAATGTACAGTAACACCTCTAGTCTTCACCCCATTGTGCACCCTGTGCCTTTTCTACTTGTTCCTCATCTCCATCCAAGACTCTGGACGACCTGGAGGAACGAGTGAAGGAAGCTGGAATCGAGATTACTTTCCGTCAGAGTTTCTTCTCCGATCCAGCTGTGCCTGTCAAAAACCTAAAGGTGGGATGGCCGGGAGTGGTGGGCGTAGCCTGCGAAGGGACCGGGCTGGGGAAAGGGAAAATGTGGTGGTTTGGAAAGGAGAGTCAGGTAGGGAAAGCTTGCTTTTTCTGGTGTTGAGATATAATTGACATATAATGTTGTGCAAGTTTAAGGTATACAATGTGTTGATTTGGTGCATTTACATACTGCAATTTGCTTACCAGCGGAGCGTTAGCTAGTACCAGCATCACGTCACATAATTTTGATTCTGCAAGACAGTAACATCTCTTGGGGGAGTTGAGCTCCATCTTCCAGTTGACATTTATCCACTACCCATTGAGAGAACCCTGCACTAAGCACTTTGGGACGGGAAATCAAAGCTGTGAAAGCGCTTGGCTTAGTCCCTCTGGCGTTTCCAGCGTCCCTCAGGAGCTCTGTTCTCTCTCTGTTCTGTAGCGCCAGGATGCCCGAATCATCGTGGGACTTTTCTATGAGACTGAAGCCCGGAAAGTTTTTTGTGAGGTGGAGTTGGAATATGAGGAGGGAGGGGCACTGGGTGGGCTCTTTGCCCTGGGTGTCTCCTGGGATCTCCTCTCTGCCTCTCTGAACAAATGATTGGAGGTGAGGATTAATATGAGATCCCTGTCTATTGGCTCTGACTCCACATCCTGGCTTCTCACACATGGAACTCTTGCTCCAGGCCTCATTTTCCTATCGCTTTGTGTTTCTGGAGGAGCCTGTGAATCCTATCTTTCCTGTCTGACTGGAAAAGACCGCTTAGAAGTAGAGGCGGGGTTGAGGGGACTTAGAAGGAGGAGGAGACTTTCCTACTTCCCCCAAAACATGTAGATCTCTCTTTTCAATTCTCTGCCCTTCTTTGAATCTTAAGAGGCTAAATAGTGTCAAGTAAGATAACGACAGAGAAATGAAACAAAGACCTAGCCCTCCTCTTCGTCTGCATTCAGGTGTACAAGGAGCGGCTCTTTGGGAAGAAATATGTCTGGTTCCTCATTGGGTGGTACGCTGACAATTGGTTCAAGATTTATGACCCGTCCATCAACTGCACAGTGGACGAGATGACGGAGGCAGTGGAGGGCCACATCACCACTGAGATCGTCATGCTGAACCCTGCCAACACCCGCAGCATTTCCAACATGGTGAGCACGTGAGGGCTTAGAAGCTGGCACCTGGGCCAGTGGAGGGGACCGAGGGGGCCTCTCAGGACAGGGGAGCAGGTGTGGAGTTTGGAGATACAGAGGGAGCAAGGGGCCTCTGTCCACCCTGAATTTGTTTGCTTTGTGTTTCCTGTGGATTCCAGCTCTGCTGTGACTTCCCTGGGCAGGAAAGGGGGAGTAATAAGAGTGGTATGTTCAGTGGGCCCTGATGAGTTGCAGGGCTGTTACCATGGAAACAAGGAGCAGTTGGTAAGAAGTCAAATGAGGGAGAGGCGTTAATGATAATGTAGATGCTGTATCTGCAAGCATACCTTTACAGGAGCGCTGTTCCTGGAAAAAACAAAAGCATTTTATTTTCTTGGTGACTCCAGAGCACTTTAGAGTTGCTGAATATTCACTCCTGATTGATACTCAATTAGCTTGGCCCTTGATGCTTTTGAAATGATTCTCTTTCAGAATTTTAGATGTAGAAGGGACTTTTGAAATCAGTTAGCCCCAGACAGCTGGTTAGTGACAGACCTGAAGTTAAAAGACACATTCTCTGATGTGGGACTCAGCCTCCAGGTGAGGGGGGCACAGGGAGTAGGGGGTGGTGCGATGGGAAGACTCCTCTTGCTCAGCACTACATCACAGAGAGTACAGGAACCTTGGCTGAGCTTGAGAGGGCAAACTTGTGTCTGCTTATTATACCAAGTGTAGCCCCAAGTCTGAAATTCTTGCTTTGCAGAGCATGCTAAGGGCGAGTGAATGGTTGTAAAGCCATCTGACTATCTTATTTTTAAAAAGCTATAGTGATAATTGCTTTTAGGTGGTAAACCAGGAGCTTAGATACTTGAATTCAGTGATTTTCATAGCTACACTCTGATGTAGATTTTTCATTTCCATTTTATATACCCGGAAATTGAGGCTCAGAGAGGTTAAGTGATTTATCCCAGGTCACCAGCTACTGAGTGGTGAAGCTGGAATTGAATCCTAGTTGAAACCAGCTCCAAACTGCTCTGCCCTATCACCTCCCATGGAAAACCTTGAAGCCTCACTAAGAAGCTTGTACTTTATCAGCTAACACTGTTTAGCAGATGGCAGTTTTTGAGCAATGGGGAAAGGAGATTCAGAAGGTTTATTCTGGCAGTGGATGGTGATGGGTCAGTTGCCGTGTGTACTCTGATTGTGGACACTGTCTTGGGACATTTCCAAGGGACTCTATGTTTAAGGCATCTTGGTTGAGAAATACAGTGGAAAAATTCTGCAAGGTCACTTCTCTGTAGAGCACCTGACTGGTGAGTTGACCTTGAGAACCCAGAGAAGCAGAGGAGCCAGTAACTAAAGCCAGAAAGGCTTGTTGCTGCCCTGAGTCTAGGACCTGCCAAATGTGGCTTCTACCCCGTAGCAGAGAACTAGAGGAACCTCTGATAGGAAACAGGGATTTGGCTGGGGGTGTAAGGGGGCATCTGGACTTCTGGAGCTGGATGAGTTGACGGGTCTCTTTCTGGCTCTTGGTCTCTGGAGAAAGATGGTGCCTGCCTTTGAGGCCTAGGGGTGTCGCTAGGCCTGTTTGGTAGCCTAAAATGCTCGAAGAAGAGGCCAAGATTTTTCAGAGGGTAGAAGCAGTCTTAACAATTGACTAGAGAAGAGGTTATAGATGAATCAAATAGGAGCAAGACAAATGGATCAGAAGCAAGAGTTGAGCCTATGGCCCAGAGCCTCCACACTGAAAGGATGGCCTTACATTTAGATCAGTGGTTCTCAAGCTTCTGTGAACCACCTGGAAGGTTGGTTAGTACACAGACGACTGGGCTCTTTCCTTGGAAGTTGTGATTCAGTGGGTCTGGGGTAGGGACTGGGAATTTACATTTCAACAAGTTCCCTGGGGATGTTGGTACTACTGGTCTGGGGACCACACTTCGAGGATTATTAGAACAGTGGTGTGTGTTTTTTTTTATAATTGAAGTATAGTCAATTGACAATGTTGTGTCAATTTCTGGTGTACAGCACAGTGCTTCAGTCATACATGGACATACATTCATTTTCATAGGAACAGTGGTTTTTAATCAGAGATTGCAATGTGTAGAGGCAGTTGTGGTTGTCCACAGCTGGTAGCTAACTGGTACCTAGGTCACGAATGCTTCTCAACAATGCACAGGATAGTCTCCCACAACAAAGGATAATCCTGCTCAAAACGTCAGTGGTGCGGCACTGGGGAACCTTGGTTTAGACAGAGTTTTTAGGAGCCAGATATGGGAGAGTGGGTTAGAATGGTTTTGGAGAAATATAGCTCTGGGTTAGAGCTGTAAGAGAGCTCAGGTATGAGGTAGCTTGCCTGGGGATAAGATTGTGGATAAGTTCTGATTGGAATACAGGTCCCACCAAACCTGAGTACAAGATAAAATACGAAGCTACTCAGGATACACATTTTAGATCACTGTCGAGCATTTAGTCTCACATATAGAGACAGCTGATAAAAAATTAAGATCATAAATCTGCACTTGGTTAATTCACTAATTTCTCTGGGCTGTGGAATTTTTGTTGTTGTTCAGTTTTCCTCAAGCTGCCTAGTGACATTTCCATTTGAAAATTTACAAACATCTTTATTGACCTAAAGGGGGAAGATTTTTTTGTAACTTTAGTCTTGGATTGGGGCAGTGGTGCCCCCAGTGGCCAAGTGGTAGTGGTGGTGACCTGGAGGCAGCGGGGAGGATGAGAATCTGGGCAGGGGACAGCACCATGCAGAGCACACGATTCCCTTCCCATCTGGGTGATTTTTGGACGCAGTGCTTACTCTGAACTGAAGGTTGGATGGACTTGGAGGCTGAAGGATTACTCAGAAGGTCTCAGCCTAGCTGCTGTCTGCCAAGCTGGTGCTCTGCCGAGAGAGGCCTTTCAGCCAGCAGAGGCAGTGTGGAGTAAGTAGTTGGGAAGAGTGTGGACCTGGAATGGGATTGAATCCCAGCTCTGTCATGTACTAGCAGTATAACTTCAGGCAAGTGAAATTTTCCTGTGCCTCAGTTTTAGTATCTCTAAAGTGGGCATATAATAGTGTTTACCTCATTGGATACTTTGAGAATTAAATAAGTTGATATACGTACCTTAGAAAAGATACATAGTAGGGACAATAGAAATGTTAGATATTGTTATTGTTATCATAATTATTATAACATTTTTCTGTATAAGGAGGGTTGATACTAATGAAACACTTCAACAAAAGTATTAAGAGGACTTTGTGATTTAAAGAGTCTAATGTGATTCTAAGGTTTCAGTCTCATGTCCTGGGGAGTGTTGGGAGTGAAGAAAAATAGAGCTTAGTCTTAGATATTTTTAATTTTAGATTATTGCCTATATAGTTACAAATACCTTAAGATGGAGATACAGGATTTGAAATATTGGTCTGGAATTATAGATCTGAATATTAATAGCAAGGATGAGGTGAGAGAGAGAGAAATTCACAAAGGAAAAATGTAACTTACTTTATACCCAGCATATTATACATGCTGTTATTTTATCCTTATACTAACTCTTCAAGGTAGTTAGTATCATTCCCATTTTAAAGCTGAATAACTAACTCGTGCAGATTAATAACTCATTTGAGATTATACAGTAGGTAGGTGGATTAGTTAGAATTAGAATCCATTCCTCCATTTATCCAACCAATGAACATTTTTCTTAAAGACTTACTATAATTTTTTTTTTGAGCAGTATAAGTTTACAGCAAAATTGAGAGGAAGATACAGAGCTTCCCCATTATGACGCCTGCCCTACTCATTCCTAGCTTCCCCCTTTATCAGCGCTCCCTACCAGAGTGGTTATTACAGTTGATGAACCTATGTTGACGTATCAGTAACACTCAAAGTCCCTAGTTTAGGCGAGGGCTCGCTCTTGGTGTTGTACATTTTGTGGGTTTGGACAAATGTATAATGACTTGTATGCACCACTGGAGTATCATACAGAGTATTTTCACTGCTCTAAGACAGTGGACACTTACTGTTTGTCCACCCTGGGGCACAGTGCTGGATGCTGAGGACTAAGAGCGAAATAGACCCTGGTCCTGTCGTCAAGGAGCAGAGCCCAGGCCTGCCGCTCTTCAAAGCCCAGGCTGTTTCCAGCCACCACATGGCCTGTCCTTACGTTTCCCACTCCCCCTTGTCTCCAGAAAGTTGAATAGAAAGAAAAGTGAGCAGGGTACAGGGAACAAAGATTTTTATTTATTGTTCATTCCTTCATTACAGTATGTGTAGGTCAATACACACCGAATCTGAACAAAGTCGGGTGGTGCCCTGTGTATGACCTGTGCCTTGCCAACCGGTGGCCACTGAGCCTTTCCTCGAATGGTTTCTGGGAGGTGAGAAAGGGCAGATGTGACTTTCTCTATGTTGGCAGAGACATTTCCCCAAACTCAAGCAATTTACTTACAGTTATTTAGCCAAACACTGTTACTGCTAGGTATAGAAATTTGGGTTTCTTGATCCATTTCACGACACCGTTAAAGGAGCCATTATTCTTTTTAGCTTTCTTGGAAAGAGAAGACGGAGGGCTGGGAGGGGTGTGGATGGGGACTGAATGATGGACTTCAAGCAGGTGAGGGTATTGCTGCAGTCCTTGGTCTTCTGAAAACCCTGCAGTAGACGGTGAGCTGAGCTCACACGCGGATGGCAGGAAGTTAGCGCCCTGAAGAAAAGGCTGCCCGGGTGATGAGCAGCATGAGGAAGGCTGCGGTGCCACCTTTTCTGGGCTCTCTCAGAACTGGAGGAGCTGTCAGCTCCTTCGTCAGCTCTACTGAGAAGGTCTGACGGCTGCGAGAACGTCAGTGCTGCAGCTCTTCCCTGGAGAAGCCACATCTTTGCTTCGCCCTCTCTCTGCTTTCTAGCCTTTGCCATTCGTTATGCGGAGCGTCTGTTCATTAAACTCCTCCGTGTGCAGCTCTGAGCCAGCAGCGGACACACGAAGGCCGCTGGACCCAGCCAACCCCGGCTCCAGTCTAGTAGCTTCTGATCTAAGACAGGCGCACAGGCACAGCTGAAGATTCTGAATGTTCATACGCTCAGTGTGATGACATGAACACACACCATCCATTCAAGTCCAAGTCTCAGAGCCAGAATCAGATGCCCACCCCCGCCAATCCTTTCCTCCTGTTCTTCCTCCCCAGACGTCCCAGGAGTTTGTGGAGAAACTGACCAAGCGGCTAAAAAGACACCCTGAGGAGACGGGAGGCTTCCAGGAGGCACCGCTGGCCTACGATGCCATCTGGGCCTTGGCACTGGCCCTGAACAAGACGTCCGGAGGGGGTGGCCGTTCGGGTGTGCGCCTGGAAGACTTCAACTACAACAACCAGACCATAACTGACCAGATCTACCGGGCAATGAACTCCTCGTCCTTCGAGGGTGTCTCCGTGAGTTACAGCCCCTCCCTGCACGCCCGTGTCCTCCCACCCAGGGAGCCCTCTCGGAGGCGCCTTCTCCTGGAAACATGCATTCTGTCTCTCTCAGTTGCTTCTGTGCAATAAGCAGTCTCAGACCAGGGAAGCAGGAACCCCCAAATCAGAAAACCCCACAAAAGACTAGAAGGAAGTGGTACATTCCATTTCTTTCAACCTCTCCTCTCAGTTCGTTTCACTCCAGGTATTTATGAGTCAGATGAAAATCACAGGATTTTAAAAGAGGAAGCAGTCTGAATGATCATCTTATTCCTTATAAAGTGGGGAGACTGGCGTCCGGAGGGATTTGATGATTTGCTCTTGTCCCACAGCCAGAAGCCAGGCCCCCTGGTGCTCTCTCTGGGGAGTTTTCCCATTCAAATCTCCTGGGTGAGGCTTCTTTTCAAAAGATTGATGTTTCTAAAATCTAGGGTATGGGCATCTGGGGTGTGTCCTATATGCAGGCAAATGCCATAAATAGAACTCATTCAGAGGCTCAATTACATCAAAACCATAAGGATTCAAAGAGTCCCTGATGTTCTCTTTTCTCTTATGCTTTTATCCCCTTCACCTTCCTCCACATATTTCTCCCCCTCAGGGCCATGTGGTGTTTGATGCCAGCGGCTCTCGGATGGCATGGACACTCATCGAGCAGCTGCAGGGTGAGCGCAGGGCCTTGAGGGGTCAGGGGAGGCCAGGAGGGGACAGGCTGGGGCCGGGCTGAGACACCCCCGGGAGCGGAACGTCAGGAGACATCAAAAGATTGTCCTGGTGCCTCCCCACCTGCTGCCCTCTCTTCTCATTGTGTTCATCAAGCTTTTAAATAATAATGATGATTATAAAAAGCTTAGCTGTGAGTGGGTTTCTTTGAGTTGCAGTGGCTGTGCCCTTGAAAGGGGCATGCAGATTGAAAACAGCCACCCTCTTCCCCTAGTGGTCCCCCTTTTAATTTGAGAAATTTCCCTCTGATGGCTTGAGTTGTGTGGTTCATGGCTTGTCCAGAAAAGCCAAATCTAGGAAACGTGCTGTTTATAAAGGGGATCCACTGCATTTCCTTGACATGGAAGCAAGTATTCCTGACTTTTCTGCAGTACGTATAGTTTGGATTTTCCAAATGGTATTTTCTTATAACTTAGCACACTGAGGGGTTTGCAAAACTTCTGAATTAGTTTTTCAACTCCACCCCACTCTCAGCCTCTCACAGCATGGCCAAAAGAACCACTTCTTGGCCTCCTGTGAAAAGTTTCTTTCTTTGCTTCTCCCCCACCTCCCACGTCCTCTCAGATCTTCTTTGTAACCAGGACGAGAGGGAATGGACTTCAGCCAGGGTCAAAGAGGGTGTGAAATGGCTTTAGAAGGAAAAGTTATGGTAACTGGGGCAGCTCTAGAAATCTTAGCAGTGACTGAATTTCACTTTGTGGCTTTTTAAGAGGCGGATGCAACTTGTCTAAGGAATGAGAAGCCAAGTCAACGGAAGAGAAATTTCTAAAATTAAAATGAAAGCCTCTGGGAAAATAGATCCTGTGATTCTGTCTATCTTGAGAGGGAGAATAAGCTGAAACATGTTTAAAGATTTAGAAGCCAGAATCACAGTGAGAGACGTCTTGCTGAGAGAGGTGTGAGCCTGTGGAATGGGTGGCAGACATACTGCGGAGATTTCTTCACTGAAGGGCTTTAAACATATAAGATATTCTGATTTATTTGCGTCGCCTTGGCATCCACCTTACAGTGCTTTTAAGTCAGATTGTTGATTCAGGCGACCTCCCCACCCCCAGGTCCTTCCAAGCATCCTTCAGGGGCTCAGGTGAAGGGAGAATTCGACACAACCATGGGGAATACTTTAGGGCAGTGGGAAGTTGAGGATGCCTGAAATGAGCTTTTCACCTACCTGTGGTCACTCCTATGCTTCTCCGTCCAGGTGGCAGTTACAAGAAGATCGGCTATTATGACAGCACCAAGGATGATCTTTCCTGGTCCAAAACGGATAAGTGGATTGGTAAGTGGATCCTTCAACCCCTCCTGAACAATAAAGAAAAATGGTCAGGTGTTTGAATGAGGGGCAGGTGCCATTAGGTTGAAATGTGCCAGGGAGATGGGCCAGGGACTGGGGTTAAGAGAAAGGGAACAACACCTCTGAGTCGTGGGTAGGGGAAACTGGCGTAACTGGAGAGGGAATAGGCGGGGTGGTAGCAATGCTCTCTTAAAAATAGTACATTGCTGGGGCAACTGGGGATTAGAGGCAGAGGGTGGGAAGTGGAAACTCCATTTGGATTTCCCAGATGTTCTGGTGCCTTGATGTGTCTGAACCAGCTACTTCACGCCTAGAGTTGCCTCTTCATCTTTGTCAGGAAAAGGGTTGCTTAAACTGTAGGAGAAGATGCAAAACCTCATTTAATTGTCTTCTGCTAAAATGTGCTTTTTAAAGAGAAAAAGGAAGCAATTATATTCTTTGTGTGCCTGATGGGCTAAATAATAGGACATGGGAAGGATACTCAAGGTGGGCAAAAGGCAGATTCTATTGATCAAAGGCTTGGCATCTGAAGGATGGAGGGGAGGCGAAGCCATGGAAGCCAGCTGCTGTCCGCCCTGCCCAGCTGAAATCGAGTGGTTCTCGCACTGCTGGAGTTTTGAATTTTTTTTCTAATTTGAATTTAGGACAGTGTTCTGTACTGCTATAAATGCTGCGTGGCCTAAATTACACTTTTTTTTTTAAAGCTAAGCAAATTGAAATTAGTCTTATTTTTTTCTTTCTTTTTGTAAACTCTTTGGCAAGTTTGAGCTTTTCTTTAATAATTACTGCAAAACACCTTTGGGAGTATCATCCTGCCAGGGTTAAAATCACAGGTTAGTTTTTTTTGTTCAATGCCTCCTAAGGTTAGGAGACCAATAGCTACTTTGAGGCACATTAGCTTTATGATTCTTTGATTGTCTTGTGCAGCTTTTGATTTGAGTTGTAAGAGACCTCGTAAAATTTATTTCTCAGTATCCGCTTCTTTCCCTTCCATTTTCCTTTGCTGCAAGAAAGAGAAAAAACAGAAAGAGCAACCAGTAACAACAACAAAAAAGCCCCTATAACTTTGGTGATACAGTTCAGCCTCTAGCTCCATCTTCTCGTCTCATTTCTGATTGCGTCCCAAGAGCCCCAGCATCAATGAGAATTGCCCGCGCAGCAGCCCCTGTTCAGGGCAGTGCGGGCCCCCTGTCCTCCGAGCTAAGACCCAAGTGTCCTTCAGCAGCTTGTCCTTCTCCCCTTCTCCTGTCCCACCTTTTTTCCTTTGCCCTCCTTCCCTTCTCTTCCCCCTCCTCTCTCCCTTCCCCGTGCCATGCAGGAGGGTCTCCGCCAGCCGACCAGACCCTGGTCATCAAGACGTTCCGCTTCCTGTCGCAGAAGCTCTTTATCTCCGTCTCCGTTCTCTCCAGCCTGGGCATTGTCCTAGCTGTTGTCTGTCTGTCCTTTAACATCTACAACTCCCACGTCCGGTAAGTTTCTCTTCTGACGTTTTCCCTGTCCTGTCTGCTTCGCCAAGATAATGAGCATGTTGCTTGAAGGGAGAAAGGAGAAAACCTGTGTAGGTCCAGAGGCTGTGCACCCTTGAGGTTTCCACTCTGACCCATTGCTTTCCCAGTGACCACTGGGAACAAAAACGGGACACCAGATATAACTCTCATCCCTGCTCCAAAGCAGCTAATGGGAAAATTGAAAAAAGGCTTTGGGGCTGAGTGAGGCAGTGCGGGCTCTAAATAGAGTGTGTGCTGGCAGGGTCCTGTGCCCTGTGGAGCCCTCTGCAGCCCCCTGGCTGGCCCATGACCCAGCTGGCCTTGTCTCTCAAGGCCCTGCTGTCTGCTCCCAGACTGCTTGCCTTGGTCTCCGGCCCTGAGGTTGGGGTCAGGCCGTTTGGGGAGCTGAGCCTCCCTGGAGAGGAGGGGTAATTCTGTTCTCTCTTTCTCCCACCCTTCCCGCCTCTGCCCTAGTTATATCCAGAACTCACAGCCCAACCTGAATAATCTGACTGCTGTGGGCTGCTCCCTGGCATTAGCTGCCGTCTTCCCCCTGGGGCTGGATGGTTACCACATCGGGAGGAGCCAGTTCCCCTTCGTCTGCCAGGTGAGGGGGGGGTTGGGCAGCCCCCTGACTTCCCTTCTTGTCTTTTCTGACCCTTGTCCCCGTTCCTTCTCCTGATATCACCCCTCTGGTCTCTGTCTGGCTCCCTCCCTTTTTTCTGTGCCTTCAGACTTTTTCATCCTGTAGCTCCCTTGTCAGTTCCAAGGTTGCCATGGCACGCCTTGCAGAGAAGAGGAGGGAGGTATCGAAGGAAAGAAGGGGGTCTGCCCAGAGAACCCCTGGACAATGGTGGCTTGTCTGTGGTGTGGGGGCTGAGAGCAAGAACTGTGGACTTCCCGTGGGAGCCTGCGTTGTGGTTTGGAAGGACGGAGGCGGGGATCTGAACCAACAGCAGGGAGAGTTGTGGGGAAGGGACCGCTGTTACACAGAGAGGAGGCCCTGTGGGACTCTTGGTACATGGAAGGTTCTGGGGCTGCAGAAAAAGGCTGGCTTCAGCAGCGATATTTGTGTGGTTCTGTTTTGCTGGTGAGAACCCCAGCCTTTGCCCTGCCCATCCTCAGTCCTTCCTCCTCTGCCCTGTGCCTGTCCTCATCAAGCATCCATGCACATGGCATTTGCACACACATGCACCTACAGTTCCTCAGAGGCTCTCTGACCCCAGTGAGGCCAAATGCAGAGGGAGAGGCAGACAATTAACTGCAGTGACCTATAAGAGGTATCAAAGTGGGGATCAGGTATGGAAGCAAAGAGAAAGTGGCTCCCAGTCAGAGTCATTGTGTGGGCCTCACAAAAGGTGGCATTTGAATACTGAAGTGTGCAGGGGGTTTTGTCAGCTGGAGGAATAAAGAATGGTTACCCCTGGAGCAGATGGAACATCATGTGGGTAGCAAAGACACGGAAAAGAGTAGATCAAGGGTGAGTGAGCAGTTCAGCATGGCTGTAGCGTAGGGTGGGTGAGGGCCTGGTGGGAGATGAGCCTGGGAACGTGGGTGGGACCGTGTCTCGTGCCACATGCAGAGGTATGTGGGCTGCAACCTGTAGGCACTGGGAACAGTCAGAAGTGACTGGCCATTAAAACCTGGAGTTTTTTGAGCAAGATCATTCTAGTGGCAAAGGAGATGGGTGGGGGAAATTTGTGAAAGGTAGGGAGACTTTTCCCTCCCCTTTGCCCCCTGTCCCCTCCTGGCTGCGTCCTGCCTCCTGGCACCTGTTCCCTCCTACAGCCCTGACCCGTCCTGGCTGCAGTCCCATCTGCTGCCCGTGCGACCCTCTCTGGCCCTCTCTCTTTCCTTAGGCCCGCCTCTGGCTCCTGGGTCTGGGCTTTAGTCTGGGCTATGGCTCCATGTTCACCAAGATCTGGTGGGTTCACACAGTCTTCACAAAAAAGGAGGAGAAGAAGGAGTGGAGGAAGGTGAGCTGCTTCTGATCCTTGGTCCCCAGTGCCTTGGCTCTCGAGGCGAGGAGGACATCCCCCATCCCCCGGCCCACCTGTGCTCTGTGTGCTTACCCAGACCCTGGAGCCCTGGAAGCTGTACGCCACGGTGGGCTTGCTGGTGGGCATGGATGTCGTCACCCTCGCCATCTGGCAGATTGTGGACCCCTTGCACCGGACCATTGAGGTACCGCTTGCTGGGAGGCCCTGCGGTGAGGCGGTCGAGCGGGGCTCATTGGTAGAAGAGCCTCTGGAGCTGCGTGTGGTCCAGAGGAGGAGAGGCGCCCGTGGTGGGTGCTCTCCAACCTCCTGCATCTCAGCAGATCTACCTCAAAGCTCTGGATTCATCAAAAGAAAGGAAGTGGTGGGGATCTGAGAAGGATGTACACTTTCAGACAACAAAAAAATCAGGGAACAAGCACTTTCAAGGTGTTCCAGAAAGTGCTCCCGGACCTAGAGTGGGGTTTGGCATCATAACTGAAGGTCTCATAGGAAAGTGGGGGCAGAGTTGGGAGTCGGGGACTGAGCAGAGGTGGGTGTTGGGGGTACGATGGCAACCATCTTTCCTGTGGCCCTGTCTCTCCCTTAGACTTTTGCCAAGGAGGAACCGAAGGAAGATATTGACGTGTCTATTCTGCCTCAGCTGGAGCACTGCAGCTCCAAGAAGATGAATACGTGGCTTGGTGTGTGGGATGCGGCAGAGAGGAGGGGCGTGATGCCACAAAGGCTGGGGGAATAGGGCCAGGACAGTAGATTTGGAGAGAGAATGGTCTTTGGAAAAAGAGGCAGAGGGCTCTGTCAACCTAGTTTGAACGTCCTCCTCTTTGTCACTGTGATAATTTTTTCTGAGAATGGGGAATATCTGGTCTTTTGCTGTGAGGAGCTTAGGGTCTAAAGCAGAAATGAGACAGGGCTTGTATTCTGCAGAGGGACCAGTGGAGATGGCTTCTTCTTCATCTCCAGACCTGACACCATCTCTGTCTGGTTAGCAACCTCGAGTGAGCCTGGGGCTGTGAGGTTTAGCCCTCTTTGGCCTTTTTAACATAGCTCTGATCTATGACCACAAATGGCAAACCTACCTTCAGCGTGGAAAGCCATCTTCCCTCCTGGAGGGTAAAGGGGTAAGGCACTGTGTGTGGCCCAGGCCCTTGTTGACTGACAGCTGCTCACAACCATCATCTTCCTGTGTGACGTGGCTCCTAGTCCCAGGAGGAAGCAGTGAGGTCTGGGCGAGTTGGGAGGACACTGGGGGCAGTGGACAGAGAGGGGTGGGCTAAGTCAGAGGGGGCGGATTGGAGAGAAGGCCCCCTTTTCATTGTGGACCTATCAGAAGGAGCAGCAGCAGGCAAAGGGCAGAGAGGAGGGGAATGAATGGAGCATGGAGGTCTTGTGGTCCAGGTGACCCTTTCCTGCCATCCTAGGCATTTTCTATGGTTACAAGGGGCTGTTGCTGCTGCTGGGTATCTTTCTGGCTTATGAGACCAAGAGTGTGTCCACCGAGAAGATCAACGACCACCGGGCTGTGGGCATGGCCATCTACAATGTGGCGGTGAGCTCCCTGGACACCTGGCATTGACCCCGGGGACTGACCACAGCCACCCAGATGGGGCAGCCTGGGAAGAATCAGGGGCTAGATCTGGGATCAGTTGGGTGGAAGTCTTAAAATGATTTTTAATGCTTCAGATTTGTAAAGCACTTTCCAGTCTATAAGCACACATTAATCTTCACACGATCACCCAAAGAAGTGGATATAGCATCCTCACTAGATAAATGAGGAAGCAAAAACTAGTTAAATTTCTTGTCTGAGGTTCACTGGCTAGAATTGAATGGAGATTTCCTGCCAGGGAGGCCCAGAGACTGACTGATGCTCGAGGACTCTGATGTGCCTATAGAGATGCTGGGAGTTCCTGCCTTGAGGGAGGGGCTGACCTAGAGCTGGTGCTGGTTTGGGACTGTTTGGGATTCTTCTCAACCTAGAGTTGAGGATGATCCCAACACTGGGTCTTTTGCAAATGGAAAGTCCCCCAGGAAACTGTCCTCATAGATTCCTTCCTGGGGAAGAAGACCCTGGCTCTTGTCTGAGCCCACAGATCTGCTCTGCTCCCAGGTCCTGTGCCTCATCACCGCCCCCGTCACCATGATCCTGTCCAGCCAACAGGACGCCGCCTTCGCCTTTGCCTCTCTGGCCATAGTTTTCTCCTCCTACATCACCCTGGTTGTGCTCTTCGTGCCCAAGGTGCGGTGCTGGGTGTTCTCCCACCCTCTCCTGCCCATGTCCTCTCCATCCCTTCTTCGCAGGACCCTGCTCCCTGGCCCCCTCTTCCCACTTCACCCCTTGTCCAGCCCAGCTTGTCCCCCTTACTTTCATTCCTTCCGACTCCAACCCACCATCAGCCAATCGCTGACACAGTCCCTGCTCAGCCATCTATGCCCCAAACCCCTGCCCACAGATGCGCAGGCTGATCACCCGAGGGGAGTGGCAGTCGGAGGCACAGGACACCATGAAGACAGGGTCCTCAACCAACAACAACGAGGAGGAGAAGTCCCGGCTGCTGGAGAAGGAGAACCGGGAACTGGAGAAGATCATTGCCGAGGTGTGTGGCGAAGGCAGGGTGCTGGCGGCCCAGGAGGCCCATGTGGGGAGGGAGAGCCAAGCCTGAGACTGGGGTTCAGGTGCATGTGATTTACCCAGGGGGACGCTGCCGGGGAGTGAGGGGAGGAGGATAGGGAAGGGGAACGGTAGAACCAGGATCTGGACTCACCAGGATCCGGGCTTTTGTAAACGGTAATGTTGCCTCAGCAGGCGGAGGGGGCTCTGGAGGGCGAACTGCGCTGTTACCTGCTGGAGGCGAGGGGGTGGCCCTGGGCTGGGGTGGCCGGTGCGGGGCTTGAGGGTGCTCTCCAGTGAGAGGAAGCTGGGCAGGCCCCCACGGTGTCCACTGCGCCCCAGAGCGGTGGCAGACTGCGGGGTGTTCCAGCTGGGTGCCCAGTTACCGGAAGCTCTGGGCAAGCCGCCCCCCCCCTTTATTTCCCTGATCTCTTTCCTTCAGCCCGTGCCCCACTGTGTTCTTTTGGCTCTCCTTGTTCTTCTGCTGATGCCTCATTTTACTTTCTTTTGTCTGCCTGCCCCTCCGTCTCCCCCACAATTTCTCTGCCTTCCTCCCTTTCCCTCCTCCCACCCCTTCCTGACTTCCTCTTCTCCCACTCGCCCAATCGGTTTCTTCCTCCAGAAAGAGGAGCGCGTCTCTGAACTGCGCCATCAGCTCCAGTCTCGGCAGCAGCTCCGCTCCCGGCGCCACCCTCCGACACCTCCAGACCCCTCGGGGGGCCTGCCTAGGGGGCCCCCTGAGCCCCCCGACCGGCTGAGCTGTGATGGGAGTCGAGTCCACCTGCTTTACAAATGAGGAAGGGGGTGTGAGGGAGGACAGGCCAGTAGGGGGAGGGAGAGGGAGAAGAAGAAGGGGTGGGGGTTGGGAGGAAGCAGGGGGTCCCTCTCCCGGGTGGGAAGAAGTCTCTACTCAGTCCCATCTCTTGTAAATACCTGCCCCGCTGTGAGTCCCCGGGGGTCGTCCGGGTCTCCAGTTCTCCAGGAACCAGACCCTGTTCGCTCTCATTCGTTCATATAATTTTATATCCCTACTTCATACTCCAGTTTGTACCCGGCTTGAAGCTTCTCACTCACTGGCTCCTCCGCCTCACTATGTACACGGGTCCCTTTTCTTTTCCGACACCCTCTGTCTCGTTGCCACGGCAACCCCAACCCTGCAGCTCCCTGGCCTTTGTGCTCTGCTGGTCCAGCAGGGATCTCTCCCAAGTGCTCTTTCTGCCCCAACAGGGCCTCCTCATGTCTCTCACCATCCTGGTCTCCTTCCAACCTACTTGCCCCTCCACTCTTTCACAAGCTTTGTCCTTTTTCAATTCTGCCTCTCCAGGGCACTCTTTCTTGCCAAGGCTCACAGGCTCCTACGCTCCACGGGCTCACACTTAGCATCGCGCGTGTGTCCTCCCCTCCCAGCTCATTCCAGTGGCTCACGTGCGTGCACGCGTTTCACCTGTGCTTTCTTCACCCTTCCTGTGGCCCTGCCTGCTCTGTTGTATTTCCTTCACTTGTGACTGCGCTGCCCATCTCCGGTCACGGTTGTGCCCTTGTGAGGGAGTGTTTGGGTAGACGCGGGCTGTTTGTCTAGCATGTCTTCCCTAGTGCACACATCCAGGGTTACCTGTGGTTTTCCCTGTGTGCCCTTGTGCTGCCTTGTCTACCCTCTTCCCTTTGCACCTTAAAAGCTTTGTATCCTAACAACGGAGCCCTATGCACCGACTCTGCACATTGTTACGCACTTTTCCCCAGTTCACACTTAGTGGAGCCATCCACATCCTCTCCTTGTCACACCCGGTTTCTGCTCACTCTCCCCCTTCTCCTTCCCACTCGTGGACCACCCTTGGCCCCCATGCACAATCATCCTCTCCCAAGAGTGCTTCCTTTGGTTTTGTGTTTTTCTGGGGCAAGAGGGAGAAGAAACGGGGGCAGGTTTGGGGAGCTTCTTCCAGTGGACGGTTGGTGAGAATCCTGTTGGAAGGAAGGCACCCCTGACTGTTGAGATGGACAGATGGTCCTATGGGGCGGGAGGTGGCATCCCTTTTGCACTGTGGTATTTCTTGGGGAAGGAGCTCCCCAAATCTCAATAAACCAGTGAACAGAGTGACTCAGCGCCTCGTCCCTTACTGTGAACAGAGTGGGCTTCCATCCAAGGAAGGAGGCTCACAGTCCTCCTCATTCATGAAAAGGCATTGAAGTGGAGGGGTGGAGAGAGGGGTTTTATTGACCCATCAGGGGCTTAGCAGGGCAGTGCAGAACATGATTGGGCTGGGATTAGTGAGGGATGACACTAGTGATTGAAAGTGCGGGCACTGGAGTCAAATGGCCAGCGTATCACATCCCACCACATGCAGAAAAGTGGTTCTCAGTCTCCATTCCCCATGTCCTCATTTGTGAAGGTAACAGTCATCATCATCATCACCATCTTCATCACTCATTCATCCACAGTGTAGATGCCACAGAGTGGAGGCAAGGACTGGTGCTTACTACGGTTCTTGGCTCATACAGTATGTTGGGGAAACACTAGCCACTGTCACTACTATTTCGTGGGTTCTCTGGCAGTGATGGACATGTATTGGGCACCTGTGGCATGTGGCTGAACGGATGTGAGGACTCTTCTTCCTAGGAATTAAGAAGAACAAAAAAAATTATGACTGCAAGGAGGTAGTAGATGAGATGGCCCCTGAGTACTTCCAGCCTTAAAAGTCTTTGTCTAAGAACTCTGAGCATCTTGGGAGGAACTTGCCCTCCACATGAAAGACAGTATTGAATGGCCAGTGGAAAACAAAACCAAACCTCATCTAGGACTTCTGTGATTCTTTTTGTGCCCTTGGATCACTGCTTTTTTGAAGCTCGGTTTTTCTCTTTCTCTGTGGCACTGATTTTTTTAAAAATAATTTTCACATTTTTGCAAACGATCTGCAAGAACTGAATGGGCCTTGTCATTTCAGCCTCCTGCTCAGAGGAGCCAGCTTCTGAAGTTCCCCAACAGCGTGGGTAGGTTAAATCTTAGACCAATACTTGAAAACCATTGCATATCCACTTTGGACCAATAGGATTTAATTTGCGTTTTCCCTCTTCCCACAATGGAATGTTCTCGAGAGGGGAAGCAGTCTATGCAGTAGATAAGCCTGCAGTGTGGAAAATGAAGAGTTGGCTTCTGAAGCAGCAGCAAGAGCTATATCCCAGCCCTGGCCTTCATGTCAGGTGACAGCTTCCCTGCAAACTGGGGTGATATTCAAACTACTTAAACAATGTGGCATCGACTCACCTGGCTCCTAGAACAAGGAAGGAAACACTGGAGACTATCATGGAAAATGAGACCTGGGGCTGCTGCGGAGCAATGCGTTGAGGGTTCCTCCAACCAGGCACTGTGCCCCAGACCGTGACACAGTGGGGTGAGGGACGTGTACAAGTAACACGAAGGAGCACACAGAGTGTTCTCAGGGGGTGGCAGAGAGGAGGAATAGTCCTTTTCCTCTACCCATCTTAGATTCTCTATTTAGCTCAGGAGAGACAAATGAAAGACAGACTAACAAGAGAAAAACAAGTTTATTAACACATGCATTGTGCCTACACATGAGAATACTCAGTGATGAGGAACCCAAAGGGGTGGTTAGAACTGGGGCTTAGATACTATTTAGGCTAAACTAAAGGAAAAGAGATTTGGGGCTTCTGGGTGGTGGAGGCAATTTATGCGAAAGTGATCAGGAAAAGTGTGGTAAACAAGGGTTGTTTATAGTGAGGTTTGTCACGTAGATTTAAGCCAGTGCCTTCTCCTTGGAGAAGACTTGTTAGGAGTCTTCTCTATACATGTAAATTTACAGAAAGAAAACGTGTGCCCCATTTTAGAGCTTTTCCTGCAGCTGCTCGTTCTCAGTGGCCTTTAGCTTAAAATAATCCATACGCCAAGGAGACGTATTTTGGGGTAGCATATTCTGGTTCCCATCAGGTGTGCGTGATTAATTCTGCAGACGGGAAACCAGGAAGGCTGGCTCGGTGGGGGCCGGAGGGATGCAACAGGAGCTGGGCACTGTGCTCCCCGACCTGTTCCTGATTCAGTGAGCCCTTCAGAAGGGAACTGGTGGTTATACCCTGAGCTTCTTGGATAATATCCCTTAAGTGCTTCCAACTCATGCTTTGTGTTGGATGGCTAAGTGCCCACACTCATAGGGCCTAAATCTTATAGTCTTAGGTCATCTGCAAGGGATCCCCTTTTCCATTTGTATCCAACTCGGTGGCCTCTATATATATTTTAAAAGAATCTATCTTTTCATTTTTAATCATTTGTCTCCCTGGTGTAACTCTTTCCCCACATCTTCCCTTCTTAACACACAAAATACCTTAACTTTTCCCACACAGTAAGTAAGCAAATATTTCATATTAATTTTGTTGCTTCCACCATGTTTCAAACCTCCGAAGAATTCTCTGATGCCCACACCACCCAAGCACTTGCGCATCTGATTCTTTCATTCTGTGTGCCTTTTGCACCCGACTCCGTCGTGTGATGGTTACTTATGTTGGAATTATGTCTCTGACCATCTCAATCTTCTTTGGACACTTCGAGGGTTGTGAATGAGCAAACTCCTGTTGGATTTTCTCCTGGAGTATCCAGTAGATAACTGTCCACACAGACTGAATAAATTTGAAGTAAGATGTTAGTCCTAAACCTCTCTGTGAAACCATTTATTCAACAAATCAGCCTTCATTAAAACAAAGTCCTTTGGACTGATGCATTTAATTCTCCATTATATTCCCCTAGAGTCTGTCTAGAAAGGTGCTTACTGTATTTGAACATTAGGGAGCTGATAAACAGACACGAAGAGTAGAGGTTTCCAGGTCCCAGTGAGAGAAAGAGAATAGAGGTGGTGATGAGAAAAAGACATTATATAAGTGATTTGAAAAGTGGAGTTAGGGTTAGCATTACTTGCAGGGCTAAGATTAGGATTATTAAATATAAAACGGGGGCTCTAACATTGAGATTAGGATACGATCTAATAAGGAGGCTAAGGAGACAGGAAGATTAGTACATGGATGGCTAAAACGAAGATTTGGAGTAAAATAGAGTTAATGCTGCTGTTCTGGGCTGATGCCAGAGTAAATGTTGAATCAAAGCCATTTTGTGTTGAAACTAGAACAAAACTAGGATTTTCATTTTTCTTAGTTCATCAGCAGGTACCCAAGAGGATTTGATATTGTTGCCATTTTCATGGGAAAGCTGGGAGACAGCATTTGTGAGATTAGTACCCCAGAACCCTTTACACATTCTTTGGAGATATTTATTCATTCACTCATTCATTCATTTATAGAACTAATTGGGGGCAAATTTTCTGCAACATTCTGGGCCTTGGTTCTAGGAGTCTGAAATCTCATGGGGAAAGTAGGCCAGGAACACGTCAGGAGCTGTACCAAAACTTCCTCCAGGCAAGTTATTGTTTCTTGTTCCCACGAGATGCTTTGCAACAACCAGTGAACTCTTTCTTATTCCAGGGAAGCAAACCTCCTTCAGTTGGGGGATCAAATTTGACATATTTTTAGACTGGGTTGATTTCCTTAAAGTTTGCTGAGAGGTTGAGACCTCACCAGGGCTGGGGAGACACTATTCGTATCAAAAGGCAGGGTTAAGAGCATGGAGACTTGAACCAATCCTCCTGGGTCCAGATTTCTGACCTTGTTAAGCTGCTACTTAAACTCTGCATCTGAAAGAGGATAATGATATTATCTGCTTCATAGTAAGAGAGATTAAATAGTCAATATGTGTAACTTACTTTAAATGGTACCTGGGATATCATAATCACTATATAAATAGCTAATAATAGCAGTGCAATCGTTATCTTTCTGAGCAAGAGTGCAGGGCTGATGGCGGTAGAGAGGGATTTAGGTCAGGAATCTGGAATGCCGGGTGCAATACCACATTTTGCCAGTAGATGGCACCAACTCCACATTGCCAAAATCGTCCTGGCAGCCTAAACATTAAGCTTTCTTTCTCCATCTCTGTCTTGAGATGTTTGTGATTTATGAGTGCCATAAAAGAAGAAACACTAGGACTGAAGAAGTTAAGTTTCTCTCTAAGGCCCTGTTCCGGTTTCCAGCCTAAGGGTACTGAAATATTTGATGACAGTATGAAAGTAACAGCATCTGTTTGAGAAGTTGCCTGACTGCAAGTCATGGGGCCTGGCTTTTGCTTCTAATAGTGCATGTTCTTGGATGAGTTTCTGAACTTACTTGGGCTCCAGCTTCTGGGTCCTTGCTGTCATTCTGGGGGAATGAAACAGAACGAGAATGCCAAACAGACACTTAAGGAAGAGGGAAAAAACTCAAGGGAGAAGCAAAGAAACTATGGTAGAAATTAGAAATGGAGGTGAAGAAATAACAATGATGTGAGAGATGAGATTGAAATGGAAATGACAAAGTTAGGGCCATCATCATGGGGGTGAAGACCATTAAAAATAGAGGAAATATTAAATTTGATTCCTATGTTTCCTATAGAAATATGTGCCTCCCCTTACCACATTTTCAGTCTCTGTTCCTATGTCTCTGTCTCTCTCATACTCACACCCACACTCAAATGCATGCACACACATGTGGCTGTCAGCCATTTCTGTGACATGATGGGTGTGAGGAAGGCAGAGGTGTGAGGAATACACAAGTCCTGACAAAACCATGAAGGTCTTCTCACTTTCAAAGCACATCAGGCAGCTCTCCCTCAGCTCTCCCTGGAGTCCATGTCCTTCCCCAGCAACCTCCTGAATGCCCTCTTTATCTCCTTATTCCTCAGGGTGTATATGAGAGGGTTAAGTGAAGGGGTGCCTACTGCATAGAAGAGACCAAAGAACTTGCCCCTCTTCTGGGCGTAGGGATTTTTGGGCTGGAGGTAGACAGCCATGGCTGAGCTGTAGAAGAGGGTGACCACCGTGAGATGGGAGGAGCAGGT